ACATAGCGGCCAAGTTCACGGTTGGACTAAAACAGTTCGAACACTACCCAGGGCCAGCATCCTAGTCCTGGTTAGTACGGTGAAGGTCGACTTGAGGTCCTCGTAAAGCTGTCTGAAAGTCATGTTGCTGAAGCGATTCCCTTGCGCCCTATGGGAATTCTTGGACGGTTCGGAGTCGCCCTACCAATGACCATTGAGACTCGCGAGATTGAGGCTGCCTACCGAGTCACGGCTGTGAGAGCGACCTCTGATAGCAGGTTCCGAAAACAGCGTAGGGCCGGACTCGGGGGGCATGTACGTCCCGCCCAGCACCGAGGAAGGGTCGGCAGATGATGATGATGAGGACGATGACGCTGATAGGGATGCAGGAAGGAGTAATGGCCCCTCAGGCGGCAGAGGTGGAGGAGGCTGCAGTAGACTACACCCTTGAGAGCTCATGAACCCGGGCCTGACCAGAAGGAGCACCATGATGAAGAGGAGCCCCAGGGACCAGTGACTACATCAGCGGTGAGTAGGCGCTGAAGGGATCACTGAGGGGCTGCTTTCTGGTCCGCATTGGTCGGTCTGTGGCCCGCACATCGAATGTGTGGTCAGGACCAGTCAGCTGTACTCGAGGGAAACTCTTATTCAGCTCCTTGATGTCCCTAGGTGGGGATATCCCTAATCTCGAATAGACCTACTAGCATCAACCAGTGTATCGGTAGTCCATACTACCACCACTACTACTACCCTCAAGGCCTCTTCCTTTGGTGCTATCGCATCCTCCAATGCCCAGTCCCAACTATAGTGGATCTGACAGACCCAGCATGCCAATACTAGCCCATCTAGATAGGCCCTCACCGTAGTGGACTGTGCCATCACCTGTTCGGCCCTCGCTAACTCAGGTAGGCTCGGCGATGACTGGTCACCAGTATCCTCCTCCTCCATGAGTACTGAGCACTACCAACTCCCCACCAGCTCAGCTCTCCTGCTACTACCATCCTCACTGTCTTCCTGCTCTTGGCCACCTTCCCCCCGGAGCCACTCCCTTAATAGCTGTGCCATCCGACGGTCCTGGGGTAGGAAGAGCAGTTCTAGGTACCGCCACATTAGCTCAGGACTATCAACCTAAAAGTCAAACACTTGAACATAGGATGCCAGAAGGCTCATTCCTAGCACTACATTTTCAGCTAGAGTATCGGCAGCTGCCAAGTCCTCCAGAGTGACCTCCTCCTCCCCCAGACACACCGCTCGAGCATCTTTAACAGTAGAGACTGCCGCCCCCTTAGACGACGCCTTCCTCGATGCAGTGGCCCCTGAGCTCGACTGTGAGCCGGGGACCTCTGCCCCTCTAGGTGCGAGGAGTAGGAAACGCTCTAGCCGAGAGAGTGGACGGTCAGTTGGGGGCTTCCCAGGGGGTTGCTGTTGACCTTTCATAGAGGCTCTCGCTTCCATAACGAAGCTAAAAACCAGAAGCACTATGCACCCATACCCCTATAAACTAACACCACACCTTTCCCAACTATCACCAACAAGAGACCAACATACATATCATCATGAACCAGTGCTGGCCGCGGCCGAGCCCTGAAGTGCCTTGGCTTCTAGGTAGGTGGCGATGTACTCTATCGGGTCGTCAGGATCGACATTACAGAGCTCCATCAAACCCTCTGTCAAGTCTGGTATCACATAACTGTCCACACACTACAAGGGAACTGTCCGAGAGAGGCATCCTACTCAATGAGGTATTCCCTTAGCGGCTTCTTCTTGATCTCACAGACCTGCACTCATCGATTAGGCCTACCGGTCTGGACTACTACTACTACCTCCTCCCTCCACATGGCGATGGCAGCCTCCCTCTTCACATCCATCGCGGCCTCTCTGCTAGCCACTTCGCTTTCTTCAGAGATCCTCTTTATCTCCTCAGCCTGTGAAATGGTCCTCTACGCCTCAGTAAGCCCATCAGTCACCTCCTCTGCTGCGAGGCGATCCTTCTCGTGA